ACAGTTAACCCTTTTTAAGGTTATAACAAATAGATGTTCTCATATTGGCCTAGACACGCCCTTTGCCATCATCACTTCATGGGAAATTATCACCCAAATCTATATCCTGAAGGTTTATCAGTCATTCTTCCTTCTTTCTCAAGATCTATGCTTGGTTCACAGTTCCCCTACTCCCTAAATCTTGCCTTTATAAATAGAGTATTTCAGTATATATGTGGATGTTTGTTTAAATAACCTAACCTTCTGGTTCCTCAATCTGCTCAATTCCCATGACATACTCCAAGACAGACAATTAACAAGCATACATTAAATGCCTATAAAGTGCCAAAAGTGATATTGTAATAAGAGTTAGGGATACAAAGAGTGAAATGTCACTATATTTAAGGAATTTACATTTTAACAGCAGAGACAGCAGGGACATTTACAAAGAAGATGCTGAATGACTAGAAATAAACAAGTTGGTTAAAGAGGAAGGGTACAAGTAGTTGGTGGAGTCAGGAAAGACAATGCAGAAGGGGATGCTTCAGTTGCATTTTAAAGGAAGACAGGGATTCTATGAGGTAGAGCTGGGGATGGAGTGTGTTTTAAATATAGGAGAAAGATAGTGGAAAGATATGAGGATGGAAGTCCAATGTGTGAGGAACACAGAGAAGCCAAAATTACCTAGATCTCTAGAGGGGAAGTAATGTCCAATGAAGTTGAGAAGATTGGTTGGAGCCAAGTTGTGAAGGTCTTTAGAAGTCAAACAGAGAAAGTTATATTTTAAGAGGCAATAAAGAGCTACTGTGGTTTATTAAGTAGAGGCGAGAAATAGTCAGGGACACAGACCTAAGGAAAATCACTGGCAGCTGTGCAGAAGATGGACTGGAGAAAAAACTGGCCCAGGGAGAACAATCAGGAAGCTGGAAGAACAGTACCCTACACAGAAATAGGGAAGTCAGTAAGACTGGGGTGGGAGAGATACAGGAGAAAAGATGAGTTTTAGACACATTGAGTTGTTTCTGGAACATCCAGTTTGAAATGCTCAACAGGTGAGAGAATGAAGCAGGCTACATAGATCTGTAGGTCATCCACCTATAGATGGAAGCTGGGAGGCCACTAGGAAACTGTACAAAGAGAAGGCAAGGCCCGGAAGATTTCAGAGAGGAGTGGATGAACTGGAGGCTATAAAGGCAGGCTTAGGAGAGGCGACATATAGAGACGTATGGAATGACATGAGGTTAAGAGTAGAGGAAAAATGAATTTTTGAGTTAGGAAGTATAACACTTGCAGGTAGCGGCACGATCCAGGGTGTGGCTGAGGCACAGTGATGGAGGTTATGGGAATTAAGGAATTTTAAGAGTCGGGTGGCTAGGGTATTTGAGGCACATCACCATTTATGATTAAGTTCCTTCATATAAAAGCAGGTGTGGGAAGGAGAGGAATTCAGTGAGCCAGGCGCTAAACTTGAGAAAGGGGGCAGGTAGGTGGTGCAGTGGATAGAGCACCAGCCCTGAAGTCAGGAGGGCCCGAGTTCAAATCCAACCTCAGACCACACACTTGACACTTACTAGCTGTGCGACCCTAGGCAAGTCACTTAACCCCAACTGCCTAAAAAAACAAACAAAAAAACCAACCCTAAACTCCTCGAGAAAGAATGATCTGTGGGCTGGTATACAACAGCCACTGTGACTTAGCTATCAAACAAGAAGTTGCTGCACAATGGCAGTAACAGCAGAAGCTTGCCCTTATCCCATTTCATGCTCAAAGAACTCTGAACTTCCTCTCTTATCATAATCTTATTTCATGCCTTCCTCTTCCTACACCTATCCTCCATCCTTCTCATAATCCACAATCCTTCTACCCCCCTCAATACTCTGTTAGCCTGAGTTCCTCATTTCCAATCTCAACCCTTAACCATTTCCACTCTGCACTGTTCTCATTGCTGCCTCATCCTTAAACTATTCATCCTAGATTGCTCCTTTCATACACCTTTTTGTAGACTTGGAGAAGAAACAATTGTGCTGACTTGGCCTGCTATAAATTTGTTATCTAACCTTGAGACCTCATTTAAACAAGAGGTTTCCTCCCTCCTGATTCTCCCCACCACGGCACCTCTCCCTGCCAAGCAGCCTTTAATCCAGGCTGCTTCTCACTCCATCAGTAGACTGCCTTCTTTCACTAATCTTTTATCTACTGCTGACTTCAATACTCCTGACTTCAGAATCTTTCACTATTTGCTACCATCCCCTTAAGCTAATGTCCTCTCCTTTTCCCAACCAAACTCTCTGAAAAAGCTGTCTGCATTAATTTCCACTTCCTATCCTCTCATTCTTCACTTAACCTTTTTAAACCTGGCTTCCAAATTTCTTGTACAACTGATACTGCTCTCTCTAAATTTACCAATGATTTTTCAATTGCTACATACGACAGCCTTTCTTAATCACCTATCACGATCTGCATCATTTGACACTGTTGTTGTCACCTATTCCTACTGAATTTTGATGACAGCTCTCTCCCTTGCTTCACTTCCTTTCTTACTGCTCCATCTGTTTCCTTGGCTAGATCACCATCTATATTAATTTAATTTACCCCAAGGATCTATCCAAAATCTTTTCTCTCTAAATGGCTTCATCAGCTTACATACATTCAGCTGACTTTCCAATCTATATATCCAGTCTTATTCTCCTTCCTGAGCTCCAGCTGCCTTATGTCATTTTGAATTGGATGTCCAGGAGGCATCTTAAATGTAACATGTTCAAAACACACAACACTTCTGAACTTCAAATAGTGTTAAATAAATGTTGGATGACCAACTTGTTCAAGGGTATCACTATCCTATTCCAATTCCCCAGGTTCATAAATTCATCGGTGTCATCCATGATTTCTCATCCTCCCTCATTCTACATATCCAAATTAGTTGCCAAATCTTGTCATTTCTACCTCTACAACTTCTCTTGCATTTCCCCTTACACAGGTCTTCATCACCTGTGACCCGATCTACCACCACAGCCTCCTGTTCTCCCCACTTCATCTTTCCCCACTCAAATCCAACTGCTGCCAATCTGATTTCTCCAAATTACAGCTCTTACTTCATAAACTTCAGTGGTTCTGTTACTTCAAGCATTGCATATAAACTCCTGGGTTTTGTTTTGTTTTTTTTTTCCCAGCCCTAGTATACATTGATCCCCTTCACGTACAGCATGGTTCAGACGAACTGACCTCGTAAAAGACCTTCTATTTCCCAGGTCCATGTCTTTGCACTGGCGGTTTCCCACATCTGCAATGCGTTCCTTCCTTATGCTCTAGTTCAGATCATATACTTCCTTCTATACATCAAAGTTTTCTTAATCCCCCCCCCCCCAGATACTACTGCCTTCTCATTCCTAAAATATCTTGTACCTATTTGTATCTTCCTGTATGTGCACATGCCTCTGCTGGTGAGATAGCAAGTTTCTGGAGGGTACGGACTTACTTTTGATTTGTTTGTATCCCCATTACCAAGTACAGTTCTTGGCATTTAAATGTTTTTATTAGGAAATAATATTTCTTTATCTGAGGTACAGTTTGAATAGACTTCTTTAATAAATGAAAATAGTACAAAAGATTTTAAAAAGCAAAGGAAGAGCACCTCCCTATGGTCGTTTCTCAGTAAATATCACACTATCTTGAAGTTTAAAGTAACGGCAATAAACAAAAATCCGAAACTGTTTAAGGGAACACCAACTCTACACTGACTGAATACACTGTATGCTGTTTCATTCCACCGATATCACATTCTTTCACTACTCTGGCTGTCAGGCTTCATCATGAAGGTAACCAAGACTTCGTGCTTCACTTTGGTAACTACTTGAACTCACATAGCAAAATGCTTTGAAAAGCTCCAAGTGCTTCACGCTTGTCATTCGTAATTTCATTTGTTCTAACATCACTCACAGAAGGAAGAAACAATGACTTGATTAAAGGCAGAATATAAAATAACAGTCTTCAAACTTGCATGTTGGGGTATTTTTTTCTCATGAAGCCAAGCTAAGGCATAAGTAATTGTTGAAAACTATTTGACTCATGCAGCTGATTAAAGATAAACTGAGCAGATCCACTCTGACCAACTGTCTTTTCTGAAGGAAAGTATAAGCCTCTCTAATTCCTACTCTACATATTTCACTTGGAGCAATCTCTTGGACTCCCTCCCGTTTTTTACCTACTGGAAGGCTAAAGGAAAAATAACAATATTTAGAAAAATTTAAGTCTTTCTGGTCAGTTTTTTGTAGCTTTTCATACTTATAATTACTAGCTGATTTGAACTAGATTACCTATGATTGCTTATAGATAACTCTTCCTGCTTTATGAAAAGCAGCTTAACATGGAAAGGACTGAGGATTGGCCCTGGAGACAGGAAGACATGAGTTCAAGTACTATCTGTGACACAAACTAACTCTGTGATTTAACCTCTAAGTGCTCCCATGAAATTCTCTAAGGTTGTGTGCTAAAGAATTGCCAAGCAGTATGAGTGAGGATTTCAATACTGGTAATTCTCCATAATGATGAAGTATAGATCCTGACCAATAAGAAAGAAGAAAAGCACTGTAATTCTAAATGGCAAACTCCAGATTTACCTTTAAGCTAAACACCGAACAAGAAAATGATACAAATTTTAATAAGAACAAAATGTGCTCAATGCTTTCTTCCACACATACACCTAAAAGCCAATTTCAAGTTAACCCAGGCTTTTCCTTAGAACAAAAGTCATAAAAATCAATGGTAGTGATTTTCATCTTTAAATAAGTGTTCTATATAAAACTAAACAATCATAAATACACACACATTATGCAATTGCCTGTTTATTATTCAGTGGCACCATTTTTTTTTTGGCAAACTATAAATTATTTCTAAGTCCCATTTCCCATATACAATCTGTAACCATTCACAGGCTTAATGCAATTCTTCAATGGAGTCCAAACAGAAAGTACACCTTAAAGAGTTAGAAACTAAATTCACACATTTTCTTTGGGACCAGAAACTGGTACACAGTACAAAATATACATTTATTGAACTTATTGTAAACACATTTTGGATCACATAAACTGCAAATAGTGGGTAATCACTGTGGAGAATATTATACATTATATTTAAGGAAAATAGCTCTGCTTTTGTATATTAGTCTCAAAATTATAAATTTTATAACGAAGCTAAGTATTCTGCAAACATGCTTTTTAAGCTTACATGTCTTCATAATATTAATACAAATTGAAGGGGGAAATTACATTTTCACAAAAAATTTTGAATATTATGTAGGAGCTAAAACAATCAGCATTGCATGGCACTACAAATGAGATGTGTTTTCTCCAATGAAGATACTGAGTTCATAAAAGGGCATTAGGAGAAAAAACGGTGATTTCTCTACTTCAAAATACATACAAAATGGATCTTCTACTAATTAGAGATGGGTCCAAAATTAATCAAAACAACCTAATTAGTGACAAAAAAAAATCCAAATTTCAATTAATAGTCAAACCTCCTTTTTATTGGACGTATGCTTTGGAAGAAATGTCATTAATCCTGGGCTGGTAGCTGGAAATGCTGGACATAATTATTAATTTCTTCTCTATTAGTACTTTAATCTTCATATCTTGAAATCTGAGATGGCCTGAATATATGCATAATAATTAATATATTTTAACACCAGCAATGAACACCAGAAATCTAGTCTCCTAATATTCAAGGGTTAAAAGAAAAAGACAAATTAGTGAACCTCTGACAATAAATTATATGGATAATAAAAGTATGCATAGCAAGTACTCCATTATAATGTGCCTTATTTGGGGTCAGTGTTTCTACTATCAATCTTTTTTTTTTAACTCCACTTAATCTTCTGTCAGTTAAGTTTCCAGGGCCAAATCTTCTTAGAAAAGGATTATATTCCTCAAATAAAAAAAAAAAGAGATTAGTCCTAACAATATCATTTCCCTTCACCTTTCAACACTCACAACACAAAATTTTAAAAAGCTATAGGGTATATTCTGCTTTGCAGAATCTGAGAAAGGAAATTCTCCATTTCAGACTGTGGCTAAATTCTTGCTTCCAAGCACCTCCCTCAACCCCTCAAACTTAAATCCTAAAGTTAACTGAGTTCATCTTGTGTTCTGATCATTGCTGGGTTTGTTGTTGTTGTTGTTGTTGTTGTTGTTGTGTGTGTGTGTGTGTGTGTGTGTGTGTGTGTGTGTGTGTGTGTGTGTATGTATGTGTGTCTGTCTGTCTGTCTAGCAATATAACACCACTACATAAATATACTATGCATATGGCATTTTTGGCACTCACCAAATATACCTGCAATTACTGAATTAGGAAAGTAGGTTCAGAACCAACTATGTACACAAATCTAAGTTGCTTCAAAAAGTACTACACTTATTTGCAAATATGCTATTAAATAATAGTTTCCTGGATGATCAAAAGGTTCTGTGTACAAAAGAACAAAAAGGCTCTACACTATTTTTCTAAACTTTAAAGTTGATGAGAAAGTAATTAGCAGAAAAATTTAAATGACCCTTAGAATCAGGATCATTAAAGGATACTGGTGCAGTGATAATGTGAAAGATAGAGTTTTATAGTAAACACTGATTTTTATTAGATGAGTTCAGAAAAATATAAATGGCTACATTAATATAATTCTTTTAGAAGTTATTTCTATGTTGATGGTGCAATAATTTTTATCAATAATCTTGCAGCAAAAAGTGATATTGGTTGAAGTTAAGGTTGGATTTTCCTGACATGATGCAACAGCATTAGTGATTCACAGTGGGACTGGACCCCCACACCTATTATACCTTATAAAATAATTAAGACCCACTCTTTTCATCCCCACTCCTCCTGACATCCCCAGCTACTTCTTTCATTATTTTAATACTATTTTAACATATCATTCAATAAGAGGCAGCATGGTGCCTCTTGGAATCAAGAAGACCCCAGTTGAATTCCTGTCTTTTTGAACACAAACTAGCAGTAGGAAGGACAATACACAAATTATGTAGCCTGTCAATGATTCCAAGCAACTACCTAAGACTAAAAAAGTTGCAGAGGAATCTGTAACAGTGGAGGCAGTTTTCACATGGAGAGTTCTCCACCCCAATTAAATTAGATTCTGACCCTGATCCCTCAAAGTTATTAGGCATTCAGATACCTTTAAATAAGCCCTCTCTCATTATAATGATGCTAACCACCAAGCATTATTAGCCAAACAAACTAAACTGGCCTGTTTCAGTCTGATAATAAAGTTAAAGGAAGAAAAACTAGAGCGAGAAAAGGACAAGGCATTTTATGTGGGACAAGGGAAAACACTGTTATCTCTTTGCTACATACCGAGCAAAGTGATCAAACAGGCCACTTCTTTTTCTTATTCTCAGTTATGAAATAAAAGTGTAAGTGGCCGGCGTAGTTTCATTGTCAGCTAAAATTATCCCAATGAACACTTTCATCTAAGCATTTGCTTGAAATTTCATGGGGCCATGAGCAAACAGCTTAAAATAGCAAGTAAGTAAAAGGGAAAGAATCTAGTTATGCCAAAGTTAATAAAAATGGAAAATGCCCACTTGATAGTGAAACAAAAAAAGGCAAATTCCATTTTATTTCTTTATTATTCAGAATTAAGATTCACTTGTAGTTTAATAAAGAACAGTTTTTTTCCTCTCAATAAACCACACCTATAAATTTGGAAGATACTTTTAAAAATACTTATTTTTAGCACTCTGAAATAATCTTTACTTTTAAAAAGAAGGGTCTCAATTTAACAAACACAAATGGATGGTATGTATTGTGGTGGCATATGAAGAGAAGACACAAAGAGAATCAGATATCCAAAATTTCACATTATTAACTATTAAAATTTAAGTTTTTATGGATAAAGAAAGCCATGAAATTTTCCAATACCTAAAGAAAAATAAATCCATTAGAAATTTGGACCACTGTTATTTAACCAAAATGGTCATTTCTGCTGCAATATTTGCAAATCCATATTGTATTCAACCTGAAACAGTTTTTATATTCTGATATATTTACATGAAAACTTTTTTTACTAATACTACATCCTACAGTAATACTGTACAACTGGAAATCAAAATATTAGATCCTTAAACTTCTAATTTAACCTTTCCATCAAGTCTTAAAGAACAAAACAATTTTTCAATAGCACAAGAGGGTAAAATATTGAATTCCTAAATAAATATGTTTAATAATTAGAGGAAGTGAAATTACAATTAAGCCACAAACAGCCACTTTGCTGAAAAGGAACAGAATACTGACATTGAACTGCTAATTAATGATAGGACTGGCTGCAGAAAACATTTTTTGACAGAACTAAAACTTAAAGTTCACACCTAAACATATTCCTAGGGCCTAAGTGTTTCAATGGTTTTCTTCCTGAAAGATTCCTGGTTTCTTCCTGCTATATGTCTTTAGTTAAATCTACAGTGCAAAATAGAATAAGCTTAATCCTCAACCCACCAAATTTCAGATCCCTATGCTGAGCACAAATAATTTTTTTAAAAACAAGATTTCAATTTGAGGAATAGGAAAAGGGGTAGGGAGGAAGGATGAAGGTCAAATGATCTCAATTTTATGGCTTAATTTGATTGGCATGTAGCACTAAGCCACACACAAAAGTTAAATTTCTCTACTACACTGAAAGCTTCTCAAGGTTAGGGCCTGTTTGAATCCTCCATGGTGCCCAGCACATACAAAGAGCTCAATAAATATTAAAATGGAAAGCTATGTTAGTGGATAGAATATAAAATACTACCAAAGGGATTGTATTATAGGAATGAAACCACTTGTAATTCAAAATGCCTTAATTATATACATTCATTTCTTTTTAAAAATCCTGATTTTTTTTTTACTTATGTGAAATCAGGAAATAAAATTAGCAATTTCTGCAGTGGTTCTTAATCTACAACAAGAGCAGGTCAACACAGTATTTTATAACTAAAATAAAAGTTTCATTTAATAAATCTTTAATGCTGAATTGATAATAAAGAATATATTGATTTCTAAAAGTCAATGTTAATATTGAAAACTGCTTAGAACATTAAACAGTTACCTATGAAAAGGTACATGTCCCCAAAGTAACCATTAAGACATTTTCTCTAGCTGACAGTACTCACAAAAACTGACAAACCAGTGGAGCTAAGTTAGGGAAAGGGAACATATCTGTATGGTTTATGAAAGTGGACTTCTATATAACACGCCATTTCCTTTTTAAATAGGTAAACTGGGTCCATTCTGTTAGAACATTTAAATCAAAGTACATTTGGAATACCACATTACAACACTGTTACCACACAAAAATTTTCCCCCAAAGGGAAATAGCACACGACACTTCAAAAATATGTGGCACAGCCCCTGAGGTGCTAAAGTTTTTAGCACAACAACAAAAATTGAACAGGTACAATAAATGAAATACACAACAAAGGTGCAAAAAAGTGCCTTTTAAAAGTATGGTTAATATTTTTTTAGGGAATAATAAAAACATATAGTCCATTGCTCTAATAAGGTATACATACTCATTGCATGTATTTTCATAATCAAAATTAGTACCTAGCACGGCAGTGTTTATTCACAGATAATAGATTCAGTGTTCTCAGACCACAGTTAAGTACTGAATTACAAAGCCAGAATAAATTATTTTAGACATTTCTTTCACCTTCAGCCCTAGATGAAACACTGGCAACTGTAACAGTAGAATGTTTCTATGTTCTCACTTTTTAGACAGGGCCTCTCAAAATGTTTTTTAAATAAATTTCATTATGACACACTGTGTGATTATGATGTGAAATGTGGCATTCTGCCACAATTCTATTTGTGATGTAAGATTTTACATCTCAAAAATTTCCATAGTCCAGTTCAAAGTTTGTTGTTCCTAGAACTAAACTTTAGTCTACACAGTAAAGAACAGGCTTGTCCTAAGAAGTTCAGCTTTCTACACTGGTATTTTTGTACCTGGGTAGTCAAAATCCTTAGTCATAACTACATATTAACTTTGTGTAAGGAGTACAAAGTTATAACTTAGGACATTATGATAATTTTCATTCTACAATGGAATTAGACATTAGAAGGAAGTGGTCTTTAACCCAAATTACCTTAAACTTAAAAATTCAAATAGTACTTATATTTTCTTCATTCATGCTGATACATGATACAAAAAGACAATTAAGTTATGTTTAATTACCCCACACAAGAGGGATAAAGGAAAGATTTTGCTGGTATATTAACCATACTTAATTCTGAGACATCTTAAATTACTTTGTCCAATATTCTTTAACCTGGCATTAGTTTTAAGGCTACATATTATGTATATATACACAAATATGTGTCTTTCCAAATTAGGGAAAAGACAAACAGAGTAAATAAGAGCATCATACCACACTTTTACACCAAGCTCTGATTTTGTATTAGATGAAGGGTTAAATCTTACATTTTAATGACTTTCCTGTGAAGACATCTGCCTACTGAATAATCAAAACTACATACTAATAATACAACATTCTCAACCTAAAGAGACAACAAACACAAAAGAGCACAAAACAGTAGTTTGTCAACATGACTTAACTTGAAAACTTACTTTCATATGATCAAAGGGAGAAGATACGCCTAAAATAAGATAATTTTATTTTGATATCTATATTCCTTAACTTCTGAAAGTTATTTTTAATGACCAATGTTTTAATGTGGTCAACATGCTCTATTTCAAATCACAAATGTATTTTAACCACTAGTACTCTAAATAAGTGGGTCAATTAAAACACACAAACACATTCACACACATCATAAAGTGTTAGATTGTCAGGCTTCAACTAACATTTTCATTAAATGGTGGGTAAATTCAAGCTGATGCACTTCTGAATGAAAAATAGGCAGTCTGAAAGAAACTCATTTAAAATAGATTAGGAATAACAGTTACTTAAATCCTCTAGTCCACCTAATGCAGGGGGAGAAATTCCATCTATGCTTTGGGCAACATTGTGGTCCATCTTAAAAATGGGTTTTCATGTCTACAAACCTGAAACCCATCATTTACAATGACTCGGCATTTTAAAAGGCAGGGGGAGAAAAAGAGGAATTACACATACATAATTAAATGTCTTGTTTGTTAAAATCAAGCTTTATTGATAAAATGGAGTTCAGAATATTTTACTAGGAACAGCAGCAGGCCCAAGCCAATCATGATAGTAAAAATGCTACAGATTCCTACTCTATGTAGGAAGCTGTTCCTTATCAATTAGTAATTTAATGTAAGGACTTGCAAAAGAGGTGCAAAGAATCAAGGCATTCTAGCCCCAAGATCAATATTCTTATGAATACACTATTACCTGCAATAATAAGCAGCAACGAGGAAAACAAAACATCCCGAAGGAGTTTATGAATGAACTAGCCATAGTCTTAACACTAGCCCACTGCTAAGAAAATTAAGGGTGAAATAACTTCAAGGATGTTCATCTCTGTAAGATTTTTGAAATTCTTCTTCATAATCGTGTGCATTTTTGAGCATCTCACCGGTCAGGCTGCTGCTCCCCCCACCCCCACCCCAGATCCAAAACACAACATGAATTTAAAGGGTTACCCACCTATCTGTTGCATCACACAACAAGCCAAACATTTTAAACTTTGATAGGGATTTTTAAAGCAGTTCATAATTAAATATGAGCATTTTGTACAAAGACAATTGCACTTTACCAAAAAAAAAATCATACAACAAAAATTGCTGAAGTCTGATTTACAACACGAAATATGGTTTGAAATCACGTTTACATAAGTCTCAATTTTATAAAAAAAAAAAAAAGGATCCATTCTGGGCTAGTTGTTGTACTGCTGTAGTTCTGTGGTGTCATCTTGCTCACCCTTATAGTATCCCCTTCTTTAATATTGAAGATGGATGTTAAGAAGGTTCAGTGAAGTCGAGCTGTACTTCCTTGGGAGGATGAAGGTAAACTCCAGGCTAGATGAGAAGTTTTTACCACATATCATCAGCTGATGTAGAGTCCTTTATGAAGGGAAAAAAGGCACTTTTTAAGGCCTAGAGTTACCAAACATATTATCGTCTGTATTATCTTGACAAGAAAAAAGTCAAAAAAAAAAGAGAGATTCCTATGTCAGAGATTCTATGCTAGACTCTGTTTTATAATAAATAACATCAAGGAAGAAATTGAGTTCAGACCAAAGGCTTTAAAATTAAAATGATGGTAAATAATTCTGCCCTGATTCCCAGATTAAACCCTATAGTTTCTCTTCTTGCCACCATTTTTATAAACCTTAGCAATGTAAGAAAAAACAAAGACCTCCAGTAAAACTAAAAACGTTAATAGAGAAACATTATAGCACAATCTGATTATAAATAGAGGAATATTAGAGCTGGAAAATATCTCAGTCCAAAGTTCCCTCACTTCACAGATGAGGGAAATAAAGTTGATCCAAACTATTTTTTTAAGTCTTTTGAAAAACAAAAATCAGAATCCTATGTCAACAAAAAAACTCCCAGTGGTATGTTAATGTGTGCATTTCTAGTATCTGAAAACAATACTACAATATATAAAAAAATGTGAACACAGTTTAATATGTGCATGTGCCAAATCAAGTTTACTTAAAACTGAAAACCACTAAAAATGCTCATTTTTAGGGCAAAGATATTATTCTGAATATAAAAATTATATGGTGGAAATAAACATTCAGAAGGCATACAGTCAAGGATGTTTACAAACCTAGAAGATTTCACAAAAGATCTCCTTTCTTTTTTTCCTTTTTTTTTTTTTTGGAGAGGTGGCCACTCACCATGATTATGTCCTCAATCACTAGAACTGTTGTTCAGGCAGAGATCAGAGCAAGCAGAATTCAGAGCAATCAATCAGGGGTGTGTGTAAGAGAATGGGTGCAGTGAACAGCTCTGCAAAAACAGGTAGGAAGGATATGCATTTAGAGAGGAGGGGAAGAGGTAGTAGAAGGGGAGAAGACAGTACTTACAGTGTCATCATTTCTGAAAGGATTCAGTCTATTGTAAACGGCTTCAATTAGACTCCGCCTAAATTTTAAAAAAAGGCAGAAAAGTATTATTCTTTTTTGGCAAATCAAACATTTGTTCAATAACCCATTGCTTCATGTTAAAAAAAATGGTATGAATATTTTGATTGCTGCAAATGATTTCACATTTAGGTACAATTTTCTAATTCTTACTCTTAGTAAATAAGGACCACTTTTGATTTTCAGTACCATAGATTAATATTTGAAGTAGAGATAGTCAGTCTACAATGTAGAGTTCTGCGATTCTCACAATGCATGGAATTCAAGACTGAGAAACAGTAAAGGTGCATATACCCCATCTTAAGAGTTTAGGAGTGATTTTATAGTTTCTATGATATAGCAGCAACTTTTACCAGTCATGAATTCTATGTTAGTTTTGGCTTAGAAACAATTAATCATAGCTAATATATATAGTGTTTTAAGAGTTTGCAAAGAGCTTTACAAATATGACCTCATTTTGTCCTCATTTCAAAGACCCTAGGAAGTAAATGCTATAAGCTCCTTTTTTACAGATAAGGAAACTGAGGCAGACAGACGTTAAGTGACTTACCCAGGATCACAAAACTAGTGAGTGTCTGAGGTTGGATCTGAACTCAGGGTTTCCTGACTCTAGTCTATCCTATCTCCTGTGCTACCTAGCTACAAAATTTGATGTAATAATTTTAAATATGATTTTAGATTTAAGTTCCTGAGCTCTTTTAAAATGGAGCCTACATTATAGGTAAATGCCTGTTGCATGTTTTAACTATAAAATTAGTGACTTGTGTATAAAAATAAAAATTATTCAAAACGGTGAAAATTCTCTCCCAAATCTTAAAATTCAAATGTTTCTATAAAACATAGATTACAAAATGTTGGAAAAGAGGGGGAAGTTCTGAAAAAAGGAACCCAAGTAAATGTGTACTAATTTTGCTTTAAATTAGTGTTGTTCATTACAGCAATGCAACTGATTCACAACAGCATACTAAAAAAAGTGTTAAGAAATTTACTTTTGAATCATTTTAATAAAGTTTTAAAAGTTATATAATCTAGAAAATATCATTTGGATCCCTTTCACACATTGTTAATACTTGAACAGAATGTCAAGACTACAGGAGCAAAACCAAATACAGAAATCTGAGATGTAAATTCAACAAACCTGCCTGCTCAGTAAACCCATCCCTGTACTTCATGCTAACGGAACTACAGCACCTCAACAAGACATAATACTTGCCCTTCTGGAACATATAGGGGAGTGTGAAGCGCTATGAGAAGTCACAAATAAGTAGTATACAAAATAATACATAAGTATTTTTTTAACGTGAATAAAATGCTATTTCAGGTTCAAGGCAAGAAAAATTCATGACTGACTTAGGGGAGAACAGCGAAGGATCATAGGATCATAGATTACAGCTGAAAGGGACCTCTGAGATCTTCTAGTCCAACCACCTAATTTTACAGATGAATAAACAGAGACCCAGGGTGATCAAGTAACTTGCCCGAAGTCATACAGGCAATAAATAAAACAGCCAGGATTTGAATTCAGTTCCTATGACTTCAAATCCATCACTCATTCCATTGCAACATGTTGCTTCTACTGGGCTTCCTGGAGGAGTCGGCACTTATTACAGGGCTTGAATTAGGCATTAAAAAATGGTTAAGAAATCAACAGGTGGCAGATTGAGGGAAGAATTCTGCACATAGAGAACACGATAAAAGAAACAGAGCAGCAAAATGTGGAGCATGTACAGAGCCCTGAAAGTAAACCCTGAAAGTAAATGGAAATACATGAGAAAAGGCAGGAAAACCTAGTGTGGTACCAGGCAGAGGAATCTAAACTTTTTCCAGCAACCAATGAGGAAGCACTGAAGGGTTTGAAACAGACTACTGACATCAGATAGATGCATCAGGAAGATCAGTTTAGCTATGTTGTGGCCAGTACAGATGGAAACGAAAGTTAAATCAGTCTTGTTGCACCAATTTATTTCGCAGCCATTTAGATCAGAGATTTGATATCTGCATTTTCTACTTGGAATCCTAAATATCTATTAAGTCAGCTCAATTCCACTGGTGAAAGTACCTGGAAAAATATGCAGCCATGCTTTTGAAAACACAATCTGAATGGGTTCCAGAGAAACTGGAAAAAAAACAGGGTCAAACAAGTGAAGAGCCTCATCCTGGGATAGTAAGCTTCATGGTGTTGGTAAGACCACATGATAGCAGTATTTTAACATTTATATACGATTTTAATTTAGAAACACCAATAAGACATATTATCTTAAATGATACTTAAAACTAGGTCAAGGTCATCGTTTGAGCCACGACTGACCACATTCTTCAGTGTAAATGGCAAGCATCAAATCAAAACAAAACAGAACACCCTATAAGGTAATGTTTCATCAAATAACAAATGACTTTAGCAATGCCCCAAATTAAAGGCTAAGTAAAAATATCTTACACATACATACACTTGTGCCGCTTAAATCAATCTTAAAACATAACTGCCATCTTATCAACGGTCTATCAAAAATATTTTCTAAACTATGATCATGGGTCAACATATACAAAACAGAAAACTTACTTGCTTGCCAGTTCACCCCCTGGTGGGAGGTTTGGGATGTTCTCAGTTGCTAATGTGCGCATCACATGGACTAAGTCTGGTACGGCTTCGCCCTGCTTCTTTATGATTTCTGGGAATCAGAAGTACTTTTTTTGTAAGTGCTATCCACATTGAACTTTAAAAGACTGAAATAATCAAAGATAGCTTAATTTTTTTTTAATGGCATTTATCACATCTGAGGTTTCCTACACTGGTGCCAAAAGGAAGAAATTCGTGATGAATTTTGAAAGTTTATGATAAGCAAATGCACAAAATGACACAAAGAAGAAAAAGACAATGAATTGTTACTTTCTAGATTAATTTTAAAGAAGAGTGATAAAAATTAAAATTGGAAAAGTACACAAGTATTTCGTGTTAAATTGGCATATTACGTAATCAGGGGTATTTGTATACAAATGGGAGGAACACCCTTCTTGAGATGCCAACTAGTTACTTCTGAGTACACCGACTCCTCTCTTTAGACTGGAACATGTTTACTGAATTTTCCCTGTAAACAAAAACATTGCACAGTAGAGTTTTTAAAGTTACAAAAAAAAATCACATTAATAACTTGTAATTGCTTTAAAAATATTTGGGCATAGTGTTAGCCATAACCATTTGATACTTAAACAACAGTCACACAATGACACTGTTAAACAGCACATACCCATCTTAAGTTTATAAATCAAGGTTCTACATTCTAAAACTCCACCCTTAATGCTTCATCTAAACACAATTTAAGATTTTACAAGCAAAAGTTCTATAACATAGGTATAGAAAGGCTAATTAAGAATGAGCTTCAGATATATTACAATGCCATTTCCATTGTCAATATGTGTGTTTGGTGTGAAAATGGCCCATTTTAAAAGGCAATTTTCTTAGACTATTCAAATAAGAATAAACTAGAAATATCGGTTATCCAATTCTCCAGTAATGGGCATACTAATAGATGTGACTTGTTACATGAATATATTTTGCCACTTGTACCACAGAATGCCAAAAAAAAAAAAACGTACACAGGACTGTACAATAAATTCTTAAAACAAGCTCTTTAAGTATGAGAAGTGTTCACTTTCATTGCTAACAATACTCTAAAGGCAGGACCATGCCAAAGGCATCGTGTGTATCCATGTCAAACATAGTACGTGTATTCAACTGCATATTATAGTTGGTTAAATCAGTTATATACACTAGATGTTTTTGCAAATTTTCTTCAAGAGATAAATTTTGTCTCTTAGTAAGCAGTGTTGTTGGGAGAAAAAGCAATCATCATCTGAGTTCTTTAACCGAGTTAGGAATACCTTTGAAAGTAGCCATTTATATAAAAGCTCTTTATTTCCTTTTATCAGATGAAGTTTGTAGATCAAAATAATAAACTCCTAACACTAGGGCTACATTTTAGAAGAATTCTACTTATCACCAGATTCAGTAACCCACATTACTTTAAGTGGTGAACTGCTCTTTCAGAGTAAAGGCCAAAATTTTACCATCTAACATTTATTGTCCAAAGTTTTCTACCACTCTTAAATCTGAATAAAAAGCAAAGAGCTCAGATTTGGTTTTCCAAGTTCCTTTATTGTATAATCTTTAACATCTAATATAGCTACATAATTCTAATGCTAAAATTTTGCTGTACAAAAATAAATGGATTTAGTGTTTACCTAAGCTACACAATTTCACAACCTGGTACATTTAACATACAGACTCCACTAAGTTAATACAATTATTTAGATAGATAACTATAGATACAATCTGAATAACACTGATGACAAATTGAACCATTCTGTTGGTTTCAGTCAAAAAAGGAAAAAAAAGATCACCTATGTTTCAATGTAACTTGTATCCCTTTTTTTTGTTATAAAGTGCAAAAAAAAATACAGTAAAACAAACAAGTTCTAAAAATATGAAGTTGAAAAACAGGGCTAATGGTTCTATATTCCAAGTGGAAAAACTTACTCAAACTACTTATTTGACACTTACTACTATACAAACCTTGTTAATTCTTTTTTAATTTAAAAAACAAAACCAGGAATGAAGTCTCTAAAATAGTATCCCTTTAACCCCAATCCCTAAAATATACACTCTAATTAGTACTGCAGAATATTCCTTTTAGCACGGATATTAATAGATATTCCCCATCCTACCCCCAAAGCTGAGGCAGAGTTGTCAAGGCATTTCAAATAAAAACAACAATAATAGCGTCCAAAGTGTCAGCCTAGAAACTGGATGAGAAGTATTGTAACAATCCTGATTCACAACAGAAAGATGCAAAACTTTACAAAAATAACACTTAAAATTACTGGGGGATTAAAAGATTGAATGGGGCTTTTCATGAATTTACTGTATCTCTGTTTATAAAGGTTATTTTCAACAAAAAAGCTGACTGCTAGAACCATTAAATATTAAGCAGAAACAGACATTATCGTAGAGGGAGAGGGAGAGATGGAGGAAGAAGGGGTGAGGGAGGGGGAGGGGGAGAGAAAGCCCAGAAGCCTTTCTGCAACTATTTTGCCATGTTTTAAGAGATGCTCATAGTTTCATCCAAGTAATTAAAAAGAAGTTTAGCATTTCATAGCAATTGTTATTAGTACATGCCAGAAAAGATTTAATGCATGCTTTAGATCTGAAGACTAATTTATTCTGCTGAACCACAATAAGACACACAAAATTCTCTACTTTTCAAACTACCTCCTCTGATAAAATTAATGAACTTTTTAAAAAAATCATAGGACTACAGATGTATGACTGAGAGACCTCCAGGGGCCATCTAGTCCAAACTGTCCCCCACCCTCATTTTATAGGAGAGGAAACTGAGGCCCAGGGAAGTTAAATGGCTTGCCCAAAGTGACATGAGTAATCAGTGGCAGAGGTAATAATTTAAACTCACGTCCTCTACATCTCATCAAATACTATCCTGAAATTATCTTCTAATCTAGGTTGGTTTAAAAATTCCATACATGTTTTAGTATTTTCTACTTTTCTTTTAAGTGAAGTTTTAACAATTTCATTCCTTCTAAGGCATTCTAGGTAGCAGCAGTTACATTATTTGTCATAGTAGTTAAAGTTTTGGCCTTATCGTCGGTAGAAAAGATAATTTTAATTTAGAATATAAAATAATCTACATTTTAATAATAAAACAGTATTAAACTTAATGCAATAAAAATTTCAAAGTATTTATCAGGTACCAACATAAATGTCCTACCTGGCATTTCTTGCTTGGTAGTAAGAAATAATCCTAAAGATCTAATATTATAAAATATGAATATCTAATTAAAGTGAATATTTGGTAACTTTACTTTGAAACAAAGTAAACAATGAAGGGAAAGTAGGAAAGCATATCTAAAATTTGTTTACACTTCATCACAATATGTTTATGCCTGTTTTTCTTGAAACACATGAGCAAAATTCTGGTCTTCCCTTAAAAGAGCCAGTGACTTAAAATTTGACATCATTCCTTATATATAAGCACATAATTTTTATAATTCCTTCCTCCCACTAATTAGTGATTCAGATCAATGTGATTTGATTTCAATTTGAATATTTTCTATTAATGTTAGTTTAGCACATTACCCAGGAATAAAGCATACTTTTTGAATTTTTTTAAAGTATTAAAAACCAAGGAACTTGTCGGTGAAGAAATAAACTCATTGGATTATATTGAGAACTACTTACTGAGTTAGCAATCAGTGCACACATTATTTACCACTATCAAGGAACAAAGTAGTCAATAAAGATAAATGGCAATGCCTTAAATTGGATAATATTAGGAACTTAAAGTGATCAAAATGATAGATTATACTTAAATCTCAAAATGTTAAAAAGAAAATAAAATTAAAGTGCATAAGAAATTTCATAATGTAGACATGATAGAACCTGACAGAACAGAGTCATATCAATGCTTACATGCTATTAGAGGCCTTTAACATGCAAGTGATTAATATAATGGACCCCAAATGGCCTTTTTACACTAACACTATCATTCCACAGATGGTTTATCTACTTAGAGGATACTTTATAATTTATACACTATATTGCATATATGCAGTAATTAGTGTTCTTAGGAAAATTTCATTATACTGCACATTGTAGCTACTAAAAAAAAGTCAGATTCTTTAAATATCCAAAGGCACTAATCAGAGTTACAAACAGTTCATTAGTGGTCTCAAAGATATCTGCAATTTTATAAGACGAAATGCACCTGAAATCCCAACTTATTTCAACTTTAAAAAAAAAACTTAATATAAGGCACACAAACACTTATCTTACTGCCAGGTAGAGACCCAATATATCTAAAATCAGGCAGTTTATGGGTTTTGCTACGAAACCCTGAAATACAGTTTGAAATAGAAACAGATATATTTTAAAATATAGTGGCACTTGCAGGTTAACTGGAGTTTTAGTAACAAAACTATGACTCTTAAGTTATTTTTTAAAGAAACAGCCTTAGTTGACCCAAATGTATTAATGTACATAGCTTTTCACAGAAAAATGGCATTTAAATTACCATCTTCATAATTCACCTACTGCTTTTTATTTAACTTATGCCAAAAATCAGATTGTACTAATAAAGTTATTCCTGCCAGTGAATTCACAAGGAACTCTGAAATGTTTACATCTTTAGCCTCAACGGGGAAAAAAAAAAGCATCCTAAACAATTTCCAGGGTCACAGCTGCTGTAGTCTCATTATTAGCATTACTTTAGAAGGACATATAGCATACATCTAAATGGCTACTACATTAAGTGCTTTGTCCCACTGATGTATACTAGACATCAACAGCACTTAAAGGTTTAATTAAAAGCTAATGTGTGGAAAGGTTCATTGTTGTAGGGTTTCTCTCTAATAAAGTTACTTATTTTTTTTTAAATGATCCACCTTCTACTTTGCTTTCCAGGTACTTGTCCAACTCTGCCTCTTTCTTCACTGCTTCTGGTGATACTTTTGGTGCACTTGGAAAACAGATCAATATCACACTCATGTTGTCTCGACTTCCCTGGGAGAGAAAAGAGTTTAAGAAAATATTCTGGTTTCCTTCCCACCCTCCCTCCTTTGTAACCTTTTCACAATCCTATAAAACTTTACTACTATGTCAATGTAATTATATTCAAAACAAAGAAAGCTAATTATTCTTTGTATTCATTAGTAATCTTTCTCCCCCCTCAAAAGCACCCTGAGACATGGCAAAAAGCATTACAGATTAAGTCCCATTAAAACTAGTCATTTAAAAATTTTTATAACACAAAAATATTTCTAAGTTCCTACTTATGGCTTACTTACTGTAAACAATAGCTGATTAAAGAAAATTTCACACTCCAATTCAAGAAAATTCTATTATCAGAAAAGAACTTAGCTTATTAGCATTCCTTATAACGAGACTTGATATGGATTCATATATAAACATGAAGATCTTTTTTTGTTCACACATAAATGTTACTATAAGTCTGTTGAAAGTTGTAAACAACTTTACAAAATACAGAGGCTAAAAATTTCATGACAGAAACTAAAAACTGAAAAATGCATTTATGACTTTTTAATGAGACTTCCTCACCACAACTATCATTATTTTTAAAATTTTAAAATAAAAGTATTCAATTTTGTTACGTGTGAAAAATGGCTCTTAATAGGTGAATGTTTGTTATTTTAGGCAGAATACCCTTGAAAATACTTCAAGACGTGGGGAATATGGTAATTTATATATTGACTAGTTTCTAAATAGAATAGACAAGGATACTGAGACCTAGAGAGATTAAGTATTTTAAAGCTAAGATCAATTAGAGCAAGCAGTGTGTGTATTTCATTTGTCTGGATCTGTGATTTCATTGAAATAGGGAACTTCCTCCAGGTGATGAAACTCTATGTACGATCTTGAAGAGTTGCCCCTGTGCACTGAGAAATTAGTGGCTTGTCCAGGGTCACAGAGTCAGTATATTTCAGAGGGAAGACTTGAACCAAAATCTTCCTAACTCCAAGGCCAGTCCTCTAACCATTACACCACACTGTTCCTATGTTAATATTTCAAAAAAAATTCTAGTGATTTGCTTTTGTATGACAAAAGAAAATCCCATACCATATTAGAATAGCTTTGTAAAATCTGTACTTTAAAAGTAATATCTGCAAAATCACTAGTAAAAACCATTGATACTTACAAAATCCAACTAAGAAGTCTGAAATAATTTTATTATGACAACATAAGGATATCAAGATGACAAAATAAAGTGAAAAAGTAAAAATGCTTTTCTTTTTCATTTACTCAAGTTTAGTCTCTGCTTTTAATAAGTATTAATGTAACTTGGCCAGTCATAATTCTTTTACCTGAGACTACCTACTAAAATACTGGTAACAAATCACAGGGTTTATTTGCTACATGAAAGCTTTTACATATGATTAAAAAGCCTAAGTAAGTATAGTTATTAAGAACTGCTGAAAATTATAGTTCTAAACTTTTTTTTTCTATTGACACTGTTCTGAAATAAAAATATTAACAGTTGGTGATAATTGTCCCAAAGTGTGCTAAAAACAATTTCTGAGAGCCATGGATTCTAAACTGAAACAAAGTGTTGTAACTAAGATAACATGAAACAGCTTCTCTATTTTTAAAAATCTAGCTACCTTATATAAGCAGGTGTCCACTACTTCATTGCACACTCTCTCAAGGTCATCAGTGATTTCAAGTCTGGATCTTACAAAATCACAGAGCTCTTCATTTCCCATAACATCCCAGATACCATCACATGCGAGGATGATGAACTGATCATCTTTTTCTGATCTTTCAATTTCATAGACTTCTGGCTCTGGTGAGACAAGCTGCTCTGTAGGACCTTTACCATGGACACATTTGTAATCAAAGTCTCCAAGCGCCCTAGATACAGCAAGAGAGCCATTCACACGCTGAATCATAACAGAACCACCTGCATTCTGAATACGTTCTTTTTCCAAAGGATTACTTGGTTTGTGATCTTGTGTGAAGAAATGAACTTTCCTGTTCCTACAAAGTAAACCTCTTGAGTCTCCACAGTTGATGAAATATGTATGTTGGGGAGAAATCAGGACACCCACTGCTGTTGACCCACTTCGGTCTGCACCATGTTTCTTCTCTGATATTATTCTCATATGTTCATCAATCTGCAGAAAACCTGTTCTGATTCCATTCTTGACATTTTCCACAGAAGGCGGTCCTTCAGATCCTTTAAAATCCTGGTTATTTGTGATGTGATCTAACAAATGCTCACAGCAGTATTTGGCAACCTGGGAACCAGCATGCCCATCATACACAGCAAAGAATGACCATCCATCAAGTCCACTTGGCAAACCAATCACAGCTGTATGTGCATCTTCCATTTCAACTCGCCAACCTTGCATACTGCTTAGCCCATAACGTAGCCCATTACCTTGCCCTTGGGCATTATGCTTTTCCATCTTTGGCTTGTCTAAAAATGCCCCCATTATGTCTCGATGCTTTAGTTCTGAGGAAGAAGAGAAAATACAGTTAAGATATCTAACCAATAACTGCTCTTACAAACAAAATAATCACCCAACAGTTTGATTTTAAGTAACAGCTCTTGCAAAGAAACTTTTAAAACTGACTGAGGCCTTGTGTTTTTTTTTATATTATAAAACTACCAGGCTCCTTGTTTGAACCCGCAAGATTAAAGAAGGAGAAAGGAGAGATGTGTATGGCTTTACAGAAGTGGTTCTAACTAATCATGATTAGGGGAGGAGATGGGAAGCATTCAAAGCATAGGAAATTAGCACCAAATTCACAGATTACTAGATATGGAGATCAAATTAGTCCAATTTGCTCATTTCACAGATGAGGAAAATCAATAGTGGGTAGGTTAAGTGACTTGTCCAAGATTACAAAGTTAGTTAATGGTATTGTAACCTAGGGTCTGACTCTAAGTCCACTATTCTTTCCATTTCACCATGCTGCCTATTTCTTGCTGCCTCAGAGGTCTGACTGGGATATGAACTCCAGACCTCTACTATCAAGTAAGAATACTACTGGACAATGTTATAAACTCTGCATCTAAGATTTTAAACAGCATAACAATATGCTAATTTCCTATGGTATTCAAATTTCATCTAGTCAAGGTGGAGAGAGTATGACTTTGAGGCTGATGTCAACTGGGCTAGACCTTGTAAGCAACCAAAAGTAGCCCCCCCACACACAAACACACCCACACACACACACACACACACACACACAAAGTTACACGTATGCATACACACAAATATCTGCATTTACTGACAAGAAAAAAGACAGTCAAGTAAAAAGTTACAAGACATTGTCTAACTGTAGTATGGTAATTTTCTTTTAAAAGGATGGGTCAAATTACTAATTTATGTGCTATACGTAACCACCACAGATTCTTAACGTTCCCTCTGAAGTACCAAAAGGAAAATGCCAAAGATGCTGAAAAAGACACATTTCAATGAAACAGTAGCATTTGACAAAAAGAACTGTAACTTTTGTTTGCTAAGAATTAACAAAGAGAAAGTTCTTAAAGGGGGAAGATAAGCTTATTGAATGTGATTATATAGAGAAAATTCCTTAATGGTAGCTCTACTGGTTTGTTCAGATCTTACCAACTTAAAAACATTGTTCCTTTGCGAGGATTAAGGCTGTACTCATAGTTCTCCTCTCTTGAAGCCTCTTCTCTTTTCCTTTCACCTAACCTGGGTGATGACTGGGGAACAGTAGCTTCCCGTCTCTTGGAAGGAGGCTTTTCCTCTCCTCTCTCTACTGTTCTGCCTAGGCCCCATAAACTGAGTCTCTGACAGTAGTGATGAACTCCACTAATCCAAAGTTAAGCGTTGGCCCTGATACTCAGTTTTAATTAGATATTTATATGGCTTCACCTTATCTCATTCCCCCCCCAAAGTGCTTTAAAATATGAATTCACCAATTTCTCATTTTAAGTTATGAAAACCCTTGTAACATATACATTCATACTATGAAGAGATAAGCTTTAATTATAACTTTTAAATTAATCCAACAATTTAATGATATGCATAATAATTATGCTACATGTTAATTAGGTATAAATAGTAATGAGGTTGGGAAGGTACAAAGACAAAACTTCATCTACTCTACAATCTTCTGTAGGGTCAGCCCTGCCCTACAGTTTCTTCATCAGTAAAACATAGGGTTGGGCTCCCATCTAACTGATCAGCTAAGATGCCCGGATCCTACAGAAGCTACCAACTTATAATCTCCCAGGTCTAGTAGTGCCTAGCTAGGTCAAGGACAATTTCACAAGGGGGGGAAAGGAAAAGTGTATGAAAGAACAGAATAGTTCTAAAAGCTGGAATCCAAAAAACATTTTGGAAAAGGAAGAGCTGAGGAAGAAGTAAAATACATAAAAGACAAGTGTGAATGCCTTTTCCCATTTCCATACCCTTTTAATAATACTAGGCAATACTTTTTTTATGCTTCCTTAATTGACCATAGCATTCCCATAGCAGTTGTTCTAAATCTTTCCTCTTCCAGCCTCCCACACTACCCCCTTCACTGCTTCTTCCCAGCACAAGAACATACTTCTTCATTTACTGAGAAAAATAGAGGACATTACTTCTATTCTACATCTCAAAAACCCCTGTCAACATCCTCTATTCTCACCTTTACTCCAGCTTTTAATTATGAGGTAGTTCTGCTGAACCATTGCCCTCTCTTCTCTAACAGATTGCTGCTACAATCACTCTTCCCCTCTCCCCTATTTTCAATCTCCCTACCACTAGCTCCATCAACAAACATGCCTTGGTCTTGCCTATCCTTAACTTGATTCTACTGTATATGTGTGTGTGTGTATTTCATATTCTCATTCTTTCTCATCAAAAGCTTAGAAAAACCTGTCAACATTCATTACACCCACCTTCTTTCCTCTCCACCTTGAAACCCCTTGCAATCTGGCTTACAGCCTCATCTCTCAAACTGAAATTACTCTCCAAAGATAAGATTACCAATGTTACTTAACTGCCAAATCCAATGGACCTTTCTTGGTCCAAATTCTTCTTGAATTCTCTACTGCACTCGATACAGCTGACCACCCTCTGCCTCCTGGATACTCACTCTTACAACTCTAGGTTTAATGACATTACTTTCTATAAGTTGTTTTATCCATCTGGCCACTCCTCAATCATCTTTGCCGGATAGCACTGATACCTCAGCCCCTGTAAGTGAATCCCAAAGATCTGTTCTCAGTCTTCTTTTTCTATGGTAAGGATGAGTAACCTTCCCCCACCTCCCATCATGGAACCCTTCAGTATTCTGGTGAAGCCTATGAATCCTTTCTCAGGATGATGTTTTTAAATGCATAAAATAAAACATGGGATTACAAAGGAAGCCAACTAAGTTGAAATACAAGTTATCAGAAATCTTTAAAAGCAAGTTCACGGATCCCAGATTAAGAACCTCTGCTCTACATTCTCCTCAGTGATCTGATCAGCTCCCATTGGTATAATTACTGCCTCTGTGTAGATGACTCCCAAATCTACATTTCCAATACAATTTCTCTTCTCAGTTCCAGCACCACATCACCAACTGCTTACTGGACATTTCCAAAGGATGGTCCTGTAGACATTTTGAATTCAACATGTTTAGGGTATCTTTTCCCCTAAAACCCACCCCTCTCCTGAACTTTCCTATTTTCATCAAAGTTACCTCCCCAAACTTCCAATTGCCCACAAATTACCCTAGATGCCTCCCTCCCTCCCTCACTGCTAACCTCTCATCTAGCCTATCAGTTGCATCTGTCCTCTTCTGTCCACTTAGATAGTGGCCACCACCTTAGTTCAGTACTTCACAGTCTTTCATCTTAACTACTGCAATGATTTCTTAATTGGTCTGCCTGTTTAAAGACTCTCCTCTCTCCAATCCATTCTCCATACAGCTGCCAAAGTGATGTTCTTAAAGTACCTTCCCCAGGCTTATTACACATTATTTCACTTCACACATTTTATTCCACAGCCAAACTAGCCTACTTCTTGTTATTTGAACATGAAATTCCATATCCCATATCTGAGTCTTTGCACTGGCTGTCTCCCACACTTGGCATATTCTCTCTTCATACCTTCCTGGTTAAATTTCTTTTACTTCCTTCAAGACTCAATATAGAATATACCTTCTGCAACAGGCCTTTCCTGGTTTTTCCCCAGCTACCAGTGCCTTCCTTTCTGAGATGACCCTCTATACACTCTGTACATATCTTTTATGCACCTAGTTTTTTACATGTTGCCTTCCCCACTAGAACTTGAACTCTGGCTGGTACCATTTTTGCCTTTCTTTGTATCCAGAGCACTTAGGAGCATTGTGCCTGGCACAAGGTAAGCACACATTAAAAGCATTTTTTTTTCCTGACTGGAATACACTCTATTCTCACACTCCCCTTTTAGAATTCCTAACTTCCTTCAATATTCAGTTCAAGTACCACATCTTTTATAAGAGAGTTCTTCTTAAAAAAGGGGGGAGTGGCTTCCAGAGGACAGATGATGAAGCACACTACCCACTTTAAGACAAAGACATGGTCAACATGGGAATTTACTTTCCTTGTCTATAAAAATTTCTTATAGGGCTTTTTTCTTCTTTTTCCTTTTTAATGGGGGGAGACGGGGAATGTGAAGAGAAAATAAATGCCTGTTAACTGAAACTAAGACATTTTTTAAAAATTAGTCTGTACATATTTTGTACTTACATATGTTGTCATTCTCTACCCCAAACTCCTTGAAGGCATGGGCTGTTGGGTTTTTTTTTCCTTTTTGTAAATCTATGTATCCCTAGGAACTGGTATAGTACCTATACACAGTAGGCACTTAATGACTGTTTCTGGTTTCTTTCAAGGCTGTCCCTGATATTCATCTTTAACTTGACTTCATTAGTTTTAAAAAATTGAAGAATGGAGAGACAACAGTGTTATTTGCCCCTAAGAAAGGGCAAAGAGCATAAAAAGTAAGAAGAACAACTATGGTAAAAGAAAAATGCCATTTTAAAAATGTTGGCTAGAATAGCTAACATTCCCTTTATTCTGAGACGTAGGTCCATAGAATGGGCACTTTTAGCAAGAAGAGATCTCAAAGATCATCAAGTCTAAGGGCTTTTATCCTTTGTGTGTGTGTAATGAATCCCTTTGACCATCTAGTGAAGCCTATGGATCCCCTCACAGAATGTCTTAAAATACACAAAATGCATAAGAATACAAAGGAAACTAATTCAAATTAAAATTAGAAAAAAAAAGTTCCTATATCCCAGGTTAAGAACCCCTAACTCTCTTATCTGGAAGCTGAGGCTGAAAGCAGTGAAGTGACTGATCCAAGGTTACACAGGTAGTCAAGAACCCAACAACAATACCAACAACCTGAACTCAGACTATTCATTGGTATATATGCCAAGCTATGCTGCCTACCTTGGTTCCTTAGAAGCTTGTCAAAGCTTGTACTACTTAGTAGCAGACCTAGAATTAAGACCCAA